TGTGATTCAATCAATCAACATGACGACAGGTCAACCAACCTCGGTGGATATACCGAACGCTACGTCGCAGACTTCAGCTGCGGAGAATGAATGGATGATTCATTCGGTGGGTTGCAAATGCTAAAATGAGTATTTGCGGGAGCAGTAGCTCTGCTGCTCATCCAACCCTGGAAGGGCCAACCAACCGTATGATGTCGCTGTGCCCACATCAACTCCATTTCACAGCATTTAAAGCATTCCAGCCGATGGGGACCTACATGTCTGTACCGACGGCCGAGTCTCTCCATAACGCTGCTGCCGTTGGCTCCATCGGTGGGCTCACCAGCAGTACCAGGTTGAGCTCCATGGTCGGTTGGTGTGGCTCATTCATAAGCCTCTCTCTCTCTCTCTCTCTCTCTCTCTCTCTGTGTGTAAGTCTTCATCACTCTCTCTCTCTCTCTCAGACACACACACACACACACACACTAAATCGGGAGCGGACGAGGGATGGGTGCCCGCCGAGATGATGATGATGATATCTCTTCATGGCTTTCAGTCTTCCGACCCTCTCATATGCACTTGCAGTTGTGTGGGGGCGGCCACCAGCCTTACTTTTGTCAGGATTCTGGGGACGATCCCCAGCCTGCCTTGGAGGAGGACGGCATGCTCTCACCGATGCATGGATATGGGACACGGATGAGCCCACCCGGTCGTGGAGAGAGTGAGAGAGAGAGAGCGCGAAAAGAGGAGTGACAACACGCCATAAAGCAACCCTACTCCTTCCTAGCTTTCACCACTCCCCTCTTTCTTACTCCTCCCAAGTCCTTGATGAGGACCATCGACATGGGAAGAAGCACTCCTCGTGACTCCCCGTCCTCCCCTTTCTCTTCCTCCTCCACCAGAAGACACTTCCAGTGGAGGATAAACAAGTGTCCCAAGGAAGGAGCAGCTGAGAGGAAGGAGCGAGATGACCAGCCGGATGAAGAGAAAGCCGCTCCCTCTTTCTTGGCCTCCTCCTCATCCTCATCCTGTCCTTGCCGAGAAGAGACGGCCGCCGCTGCTGTGCCCAAGAAGAAGAGGACTGCTTCGGTCGCAGACGCTGCGGTCTCCAGGCTTCGGTCGCTTCTCGCGGCCGCGCCTTTCCTCCGCCGGAACCGGATGGCGGGCCTCGGCGCCCACGTCACGGGGACGCTCTACGGGCACCGGCGCGGCCACGTCCACCTCGCCTTCCAGGCGGACAGCAAGTCGTGCCCGGTGGTGCTGGTCGAGCTGGCCACGGCTACGAGTGCGCTCGTGCGCGAGATGGCCTCCGGCCTGGTGAGGATCTCGCTCGAGTGCGAGCGCAAGTCAGGCGGTGGCGGTGAGAAGGCGGAGACGACGACGACAACGGCGACGAGGCTGGTGGAGGAGCCGCTCTGGCGGGCGTACGTCAACGGCAAGAAGTGCGGGTTCGCGGTGCAGCGCGACTGCGGGCCGGCGGACTGGAAGGTACTGAGGGCCGTCGAGCCGGTGTCCATGGGGGCCGGTGTGATCCCAGGCGACGGCGGCAGCACCGACAGGGATGTGATGTACATGCGAGCAAGGTTTGAGAGGGTGGTCGGCTCCAAAGACTCGGAGGCCTTCTACATGATGAACCCCGACAACAACGGCGGCCCTGAGCTCAGTGTCTATCTTCTCAGAGTCTAACAACATCGGACTCTGCTGCTCTGTTTGTGATAATAGCCAAACTCCTTAACATTAAAGTGTAATCTACAGGTTGTGCTTAGGGTGGGATGAGTCGCCTTTCTACTTCTTCTCTGGGTATTGTAATCCGTCCTCTGTTACTGCTCACTGTGAACATAAATCTGCACTGGCTTTTTCCAAGGAAAGCTTCGGCACGGTCTTTTACTTCGCAGCTTGTTTACAGATCATGGCAAGCGTATCACTCGACTGTCAAGTAGAAGAAGAGGAGCTTCCTATGTTGTTTCGCTTCGGAAGATGATTCCAGTAGATTTCACAGGGTCTTGTCTCTGCCAAACAGCCAGAGGAATACAGAAACCTCCATTGCAGACGCTCCTCAATCATTGCTGCTGCTGCTGCCAATTTGAAATGTTAAAGAGGTTTAATGGCAGAAGAGCTCCCACTTTGCTAAGGCCAAACAAACTCCATTAAGGATTTCTGCAAGCATCATCATGATTGCAACCTGCTTTTCTAAAGCTGTAGCAGCAGCAGCAGCAGCAGCATAAAGTGTGACTTGTGTGGTGCTTTCTTCTTCTCCTCCTCCTTGGATGCAACAAATCTTTGTTGTTGGTCAAAGTTTTCACATTTGATTCCCTGTAAGCTGCTCTTCAGTACCATCCAACCCTAATTATTTAAGGTACTATGATGTCAGAACAAGAAGCATCTTATTATTGTATGAAGCCTCATCGGATCCATTTTACCGCACGGCTTTTGCCACACATCGTGCAGTGTGATGGACGCAACTCGACTTGTTCTTCTAGCTTTGCTTGGATTTTAGCTTCCTCCATGAATAAATACAATGGAGTAAAAGATCTATTGAATTAGGACAATATAGTTATTAACTTTACATCTCCTTTTCTTTGAAAGAGTAAAAGATAATAGACTACAAAATATCCCTTCTTTTAGTGCTTTGTATCTTTCCCTATATTACACTTGCTGCTATATGAACAGCTTTGATTGGGTTTGGGGATGATGAAGCCACACACTCTCAGTGTCTGTGTAATAACCAGTAAATATGGTAAATTTCTTGCATGATTATAGTCTAACAAGGACATGATGTATATCTATATCTATCTATATATATATATATATAGAGAGAGAGAGAGAGAGAGATCCACATGAGACAATTCTGGGGACCATCTTTGCACAGATTAATGTCATGTTATTGTCAGACAGGCACCTCCACATCATGTATCATCCTCAAGAAGATATCTTCTAATAAATATTTCAAAATAATATTAAAAAAATTATGTTGTTCTTGTCAATCACCAATAGCAGATAGCAAGAGAACAATCTTAAAAATTAATAATAATAAAATCAATTAAAAAAATAGTCGAAACAAGATTTAGCTGGTCTATGAGCTTCCTCTGCTTTCTCCTACTCTACTGGGGTGGGTGGTTCATCAAACATACTCCACAGCTGCAGCCATTCCATTAGGATCATCCTCCCTCGGTACAAGTTGCCAGCCTTGAAGGGAGGGACAGAGAGTGACCAGTGCTGGGTACATCAGAGACCAACAAATCCCAGAGATTCCACCTCGGTTCTCGTGCTCCGTGGATCATCACCGTGCAACCCAACCCTGTTGTAGAGCTCTCCATGGGAACGCGCTCTTCAGCTGCTGCCTCGAGAATTCTTCGTCTTGGTGGAGGATTCAAACAAAGCTCAGGCTTCCGCTTTGCGACTACATTAGTCTGTCGTTCGGAGCCTCTGCAATCATTGCCATGAATTCTGTGGCATGCAAAACTCATATGTGCTCGAATCCCGTTAAAGTGGCTCCTCTAAAATTTCCAGAGAGCAGTAAAGTGGGTGACGACCATGGAATTGGAGTTGCACTGTGCAATGCAATGCAGCACTTCAATTTCAAGTCGCCTTTGTATCAATCATCATGCGTTACACAGCCTTCTGTGTGGGGGGAAATTAGCATCTCTGCTTTATGCCTTTTTCTTTTTTATTTCTCTTTTCCCTTCCTTTTACCCTTTTTTTTTTTCTTTGGATATATTAATTCTTTGTGAGTACAAATCGAGCAGTTATGGTCGGCTCACAATCCAAATACTAACTTTGGGCTCCATTAATGGACGCCATGGGCCGGGCCTTATAGTTATAAGCAAGACCCATAACCCGTTGGTATGATCACCGATTGTGTGCTTACCGTGCACAAGTCCAGCGACAAAGAGGGCCAAAAAAAATTTTTTTGGCGTCAAATCCTTGATGTTCCGCTTTCTTACCATCACCGATGGTGACCGGAATCCAGAATTTACTATTTTGTCCTCCGCGACTATTACCCTACAGGCAAGACCCATAAACTGTTGGTATGAACACCGCCCGTGGACTTACCGTGCACAAGTCCAAAACAAAGAGGGCCAAAAACAATTTTTTTGGCATCAAATCCTTGATGTTCCGCTTTCTTACTTTCACTGGAGGTGACCGGAATCCTGAACTTACGATATTGTCCTCCACGAGTATTACCTTACAAGCAAGACCCTAAAAACGGTGGTATGAACACCACTTGTGTGCTTACCGTGCACAAGTCCAGCGACAAAGAGGGCCAAAAACAAATTTTTTGGCGTCAAATCGTTGATGTTCCGCTTTATTACTATCACTGGTGGTGACCGGAATCTTGAATTTACGATTTTGTCCTCCACGGCTATCAACGGACAGCAAGACCCCTAAACCGTTGGTATGCACACCGCTTGTGTGCTTACCGTGCACGAGTCCAGCGACAAAGAGGGCCAAAAACAATTTTTTTGGCGTCAAATCCTTGATGTTCCGCTTTATTACTATCACCGATAGTGACTGGAATCTCGAATTTACGATGTTGTCCTCCACGACTATTAACTTACAACAAGACCCCTAAACCGTTGGTATGCACACCGCTTGTGTGCTTACCGTGCACAAGTCCAGCGACAAAGAGGGCCAAAAAAAATTCTTTTGGCGTCAAATCCTTAACGTTTCGCTCTCTTATCAGCACCGGAGGTCACCGGAATCTTCAAACTTGCAGTCTTGTCCTCCACACCTCATCCCTGCGACCTGCTAATGCCGTCGTCTTTGACGTGACGAAGAAGAAAGGAGGAGTTGAAGATCAAACGTGGGATCTCTCCGATTGGCGCGTGTTAATGTGGAATCCCCACATTACAGGCTATCCCCACGCGTGTGTGACCGAAGAGGTTTCTACGTTGTGGAGCTGAGATAGAACGTAAAAATAAGGGAAGTCATGTCTACATTATTATTATTATTATTATTTACTCCTTTGCTACGTGCAAAGAGATGGGTTCAGATACAAAAGATAGGTACTGAGGTCCATCACACATCACATGGTTTGGAAGTCTGGAAGAGAAATAGAGCAGATGTTGATTCTGATACTATCTGTACGATCCAATAAACACACCCCTATTCGTCTCTTCTTTCATCTCAGAACAATACTTTGCGAATGACTCGTGAATCTATTTTGGATTGAGTTGTCGGGTAGATTCGTATGCAGTAGAATTTGGTAGCGAATGAAAAATATAAATTAGATTTCTCATCGATTGATTCCATTGCTGCCCTCAATCAATTTCAGTTTTACATCTAAAACGATCGATATACCAGCTCGAAAGCTGATCCGATCGATCTATCGATCGATCGATCATGTAGTCTGTAGCTCCACACGACGCAAATCACGGTGGCCGGTTCCCCAGAAGAAACATGTGTTGCTTTTGTTGGTTCTTGAGCTAGGGATTAAATGGTTTGTCGCTGGTACTGCTTGCTGCACCTCCCATGCTACGTACCCTTATCGATAGAGGTCAACCCATCGATATATTTCTTCATTTAATGACTATCTTTGTAGTTGACATTGAGCCTTGTGGATTAGAGACAACACTGTACATAAAATCCTTATTCTATTCCACTAATAGCTCGGCTTGGATCCTTGTGCTGCCAATAATTTCACAGCAGAAAATGGAGTCTTCTTCTCTACAAACTGATGAGGTAGACAAAAGGCCAAATTCATTGCACTGATGAACTCAGTTAGCGTTACATCTGAGTTACAAATGAAAAGGGAAAGGGAACAAGTCCTTCCTGGCTTCAATCCATGGCTGTTTTGGGTCACTGCTTAGACCTGCGGTTCCTGTCTCCGTGAGTGGATAAGATGGCATCGATGGCTTCCTTTGCTTTCCCAACATCTGGTGCTTTCCCCCCTTGCGCCGGCCAGAACTCATCGGTTGCCAACACCTGCATGGGATTGATTCAAAGGCCTCATTCATTTATTTCACGCCGAAGAAAAATATTGTTCGGAAGGAAAACATCAGTGTCTGATCTCGCTACCTTCACTTGCAACTGAAGGAACTTCACGTAGCTAATCGCTTTCTCTAGCATGGTCACCAAATCAACCTACGTAGATTTTAATGGAGAACACATGCGGCAGCTATTAGTGCTAATCAGACAACCGTGCAGGAAACAGAATTAGGAACGCGATTAGATGTGAAGCGAGACAAACCTTTGTGCCATCGGGAACGAGGCCTTGTAGAACTTTGAGCCGCTCACTGATCCGTTCCCTCCGGTTCTGCAACAAGGATGCACCTGTTAGTCGACCTAATCTGCGAGTTACCTCCGAGTGATTGATTCTCGGTCATGTTCTTGACCATCAAGCCATATTACTGAACCCGATGGAGACGGGGCAGATGAATGAGAACACCTTTGCTGCAATACTCTGAGGATCCTCGGATGGGCTAGACTTGTCTTTGGTCTTCCTAGCATTACCGCACTGCTTCTTGGGACTTTGCATATCACATGCGTACTGCATCATTGAACCCAAGAAACCAACCACTTCAATAATCGGGTTACGTTAGTAAGTATCAGCATGATCAAATCTAGAAGACACCAAAATACCGTGCGCGGGCGCTTTTGCTCCATGCTTTCTTGAAGGCCATCAACGGCAGCTGCTGCACAGGGCTTCTCCTTCACGGGGCTTCTTACCGAACCATACCCGCTTTCCAGCTCCTGAATCGGCCCGGAATCGGCAGTTCGACGCGTGATATCAGGGCGATTCAACTGGCAATTCTGACCCATGGCGTCAATCCAGGCAGCGCATTCGCCCTCGTCGTCGCCTTGCTCGAAACTAAGCACCCAAGCGTTGGAGTAGGCCCAGTGTTCGGATGAGGTGGTTCTACAGTCGATGAAAGAGAGGACTTCTTCGGGCGGGGAATTCACCGTACCATGCACGTACGCAGTGCTGGACGAATTGCCAGGGTCTGATAGGAAAGGAAGAAGACTGCCAGTGTAGCTCCCCAAGGAATCAGAGGTTTCTCCCTCTCGGAGCATCATACCGAATAGCTCAAGCGGGCACACTTGTGAGCCTTCTCGATTACGATCTCTTGCGAGGGACATGAAGAGGTGTGAAATCTGCTGAGTAACACAAGGGAGAGGAGAGGGGATTTGCTACTTGTGGTGGTGCTGTTCTTGCATGTTGTTATATACGCATGCTTCGAGTCGCGCCTCATATAATTAAAGTGCATGTGGGTGAGATTCTGTATATGATCAGAATTAAATGCAACTTAGCAGTTGCATGTAACTTTGCGAGGAGTCGTTAGGTGGCATGAAAAGAATGAATGGAGGAGAGTTGGAAGCAAAAGGGACGCCGGAAGTCTGGGAATCCCATGTGAGTTCCTCCTTCCTTTCTCATCACTTCCACAACCCTGGATCGAGTGGCCATGAATATAAATCTTGTGGCCATCCCCTCGAGACATGTTTGATTCTAGACATTACACTCGGAAGCTTCTAATGCTTAGTTTCTTCTACTCATCAGAGATGAACACACACGCTTCAACCAGATTCCATTCATGCATCCTACCATCTGGTACATGAAGCTCCCGTTCTCGTCGCTGCCATTTCTCTCATATATGAAGCCTCTTCTCTTGTTAATGTAATGTATCTCGAATAAACAAACATGTATGGGAACCCTTTTTTTGATGCAATGCTCAAGAAAGCTATACTAGGATATTGTGAATCTAAGACTTAAATTAGATTGATTTGTAAGAGATACATTGTTGTTAATTAGAAATGAAACATTTTAGGTTAGTATATTATTCGATAGCTGTGTTTATGTTACAATTTAATTTGAAATTAACTTAAATATACTGTTGTACGGACGATCTGATTCCGTTTGATGTAATCGTCAATTGACGTCTCTCGTGGATACATGAATCCATCACGCTTCCTCCTCATCCCAATCAATCAATGATTCCCACAGATCGCCTTAATCTTTCAAGAACCGCAATTAACTCCGTCTTCCGCTTCGACTATAATAATACCAAATTAAGTGAAAGCCTCTCCGACTCGGCGATGTTTCGATCCACATATACGTAGGATTCTTCCCAACCTCGAAAAGAGGCAGCGGGCCGGCCGGAGCTCCTCAAGGTTCATCTCTCTCTCTCTCTATGTGCTTTTATATATATTGGCCATGATCCCAAGAAAATACATATATATTACGATGTTTAACATGATGAGTTGTTTTTGCAGTAAATAAAATATAAAGGAACTTATAATTAATTTTCATTTATGTAGTGTTTCTTACCTTTTAGACGATGATGTTTAAAATTCTGTAACAAAAAGGTGATTGCATCGAAGGCTTCATCAGAATATTTTCCTGTTTTTGTTTTCAATTAGATGTTTAAATTTTTCAATTTTTTATTGTTTATAAAGATCATGGTATGGTATGACCTGATCTGTGTTATATTTTTTCTTTCCTTTTAATTTTGGTTCGATGTTTGGGAGACTAATAATTTCTGTTTGGATCTTTGAATGTATTTGGAGATGTCTAAAATATTTATTATTTAGAGTATTTTATGGAAGTCAAATTGCATACATTCTAAAGAAGGATAATAGAAGACTACATTAGATTCTTTTGGTGTAATCGTCATCAGAAATAATTGTTTGTATTGATAATAAATTTTTTCGTTTCTTAATTATAAATCTAATTCCATAAACTGTCTAAATTTTTTCGTATTGATAAAAAACAACAGTTGTAATTCCATAAACCGATGAAGAAATTAGAGAGGCAATCTTGTAGATATGGAGATCATAATTTTGCGATGATAAATGGTGAACAAGCATTCAATACACAATCATCATATCAATAATAATTTTGAATCCTGTATGATGATTTATGTGTATTTTTTACGTATCTATAATATTTACAATTAATTCTTTTCACTCAAATATTACGTGCAGACAGGAGTAGCCATGGCGGAAGAGGAGCTCGACGTCAGGCTTCTCGTGGACAAGAAGCACGAACGCGTCGTGCTGGCCGAGTCAAGCAAGGATTTCGTGGACACACTACTGAGCTTCCTCACGCTGCCCGCCGGCACCGTCGTCCGCCTTCTTGGAAAGCGCGCCTCCCTCGGCTGCATGGATCACCTCTACCAGAGCGTCGAGAAGTTGGACACGGAGCACCTGCAGACCCGAGCCTGCAAAGCCATGCTGCTCTCCCCCGTGAGCGCGTCCCACCGACGTTGCGAGAACCTAAAGCTCAGAGCCGACGACAAGTGGCCGCAAAAGTTCTTCTCGTGCCCCAAGTGCGGATTCCCCCCCAAGGGCTCTGGGATGTTCAGCCTCGTTCCGGACACGTTGTGCGCCTGCGGACGGATCATGGTGCAGCAACGAGACGTACACTTGGGCAAGAAGCATTCCGGAGCCAATGGCGTCGATGGAGTTTTCGTGAAAGGAGGCGCCATGTTCTTAGTTACTGATGACCTGCGTGTGGCGGAGAGCTCCGTGGAGAATGCTTTAGCGGTGTTCCGAAGGTATGGCATCCAAGATGGCAACGGCCTGGAGGAGAGGTTCGTGAAGATTGGGAGAAGCCGGGTGAGTACTCCTTGTCTCCACACAGTAAAAGTTACGTAAACCTTTCACTCTGCTGAATCAATCTGCTTCCATGGCACGATAGATTCTGAAGCTGCTGGAGAGATCACTCGTATCCAGGACTCCCTTGACCGATGTTTTCCTGGAGACGAGCAGCACGAGTGATTTCGAAGATGTGATCGATCTGACATACATATCTGAAGGAGGTCGCCCCTGCAGAAATGACATGGCCTCCGAGTCCAAGGAGATGGTCGTGAGGCTTCTCCGAGACAAATCCAACGACGACGTGATCTACGCGGAAGGAGGGGAAGATTTCGTGGACCTACTCTTCAGCTTTCTCACCCTTCCTTTAGGGTCCTTGGTAAGGCTCTCCGGCGGAAGCTCCTCCATCGGAAGCGTCGATAACCTGTATCGAAGCGTGGAGCAGCTGGGCGACTACATCAGGTCGGAGAATTGCAAGCTGGAGCTCATAGCTCCGAAGCTGGCCTCCAGTTTCAGCTGCGATGTACTTGTGTCGCTCTTGGGGTTGGAGGAAGATAACTCGTGCATCAGCAGCGATGTCACGGGGGTCGAAGCTAAGGTGTTTGCGGTTAATCCCAAGTCCCTGCTTCCAAGCAAAGAACTCGGAGGAGCATACATGAAAGGACCAAGAAAGTTTCTGATCACAGACACTATGGATGTGTCGCCATTCAACAGCCGGGAGGCGTTGGACCTCGTCTTCTCCAAGGATGTATACTTCGAAAACCTGAGGGAGGAGACGGTCACACTGGGTGAAGCAGAGGTAGTAGTTAGTGATCTCTTGCCCTTCTAATTCAAATAGACTTGTTGAATGTTCTTTCGGTGTTGCAGGCTTTGAAGCTTCTGAAAGCATGTTGGGTCTCTAGCAGGACTCTGACCGATGCCTTCGCCAAATTCTTCTGAAGCTACGCGATACACGGCAAGAAATCTAGATTGCCTCTCTATCTCATGCTCCTCGTTTAGATTCTGTTAGTCTTCTCGTAGTGTCTTTGCGACAATTTTTAGAATCCAACTACGATTGTTCGATCGGTTGTGTTATTGAAACAATGATAATAATACTCGATTATATCTATGAAATTTATGTGAGAGAATAAAGAATCACCGGACACATTTGTGATGTATCTGCTACTTCTTATAAGTAGATTTAGGATGGACTTGGTGACACCAGTCAAAATATGTGAATGAGATCCGAATGTATCTACTTCAAGCAGATTCGATTCCTTTGAATGAGCTCTTAATATAATGTTTAATGTAATAAAAAGTTTTTTTTTTTTAAGAGGACCAAAACAGATTACTTGAAAACCTCTAAATGAACATCAAGAACAAGATTGATTATATATATATATGATAAGATATTTTTATATGAAGGATAAAAGCAAGGAGGTGTTTTTATATGATAAGATATTTAACGGTGACCGCGGCATCATCGATCATAGTTTCGATGGACCAGCTGGGCCCCGATCCCGCGCTCGGCGGCTGCGCGGATGTCCGGCTCGGCCAGCTGCGAGCGGCACAGGAGGCACGACAGGTTCAGCTGGTGGTGGAGCCAGTCGTCAAGGCACTCCCTGTGGAAGACGTGGCTGCAGGGAAGCCGCCGGACGCGGTCTCCGTCGGCGAGGCCGCAGAGGCACACCGCGCACGCCGGCCGCCGGCCCACCCCCCGCTCCTCCGGGTAGTAGAAGGGGAAGGCCCGATTGGAGAGGAGGTGGTCCGCCAGGACGACGAGGCCAGAACCGACGGACGGCTCGGGGTCGGCAGCGGATGCGGACATGGGAGGAGGCGAAGAAGAACCGACCGGAGATGGACGAGGGAAGCGGCGGCGGCGGCTAGGATGAGGAGGGGGAGAGAATCACCGGAAACGCCGTGGAGATGATTGGAGAGACCCATCGCGAGAGGGAGATGATGGTCGAGTGCAAGAGTGAGCACTATATATGCATATATCGGGCGGCTGGTAGAGTCGGAAAAAGGCGAAGATGACTTGGCCTGTGTCTTCCCCAGAGAAAGCATCTACCAAACGGGGGAATGTTGAGTGGCTCGCCTTCCTTCTTCTTCTTCTTCTTCAGTCTTCCAACTTAATTATTCTGCCTCATATATTGTGCCGTGCTCTTCTCCACCACCACCACCACCATTTTAATTAAGGAGTGAGAACATGGGGGCACATGTCGTATGTAGCACAAGTTCCCCATACTAAACGCCAATCTGGGAAGGAAGTAATAGCAACTTTTGTCGAAAGCTGGATGGACGGAATGTCACATTAACTCCATCAAGTGGGGGGAGGGGGGGACTGCAGGAACAGCTTGCATGAGCTGAGACGCGATGCAGTGTGCGGTGGATCGATCGGAAGCACTCAGGTGGTCAGTCTGGTTGGGGCCTCCGGCCATCGGACAATCCTTGTTTTGTCCGGAATCTTGGAGTCAAGTTCAGTGCTAACTCAAGTCCTGTGCTGAGCTTGGAAAATGCCCCTTTTACTCCCTCCCTCTAATTAGTGGCCTTCCCCACGTCAATGGTATCTGACACCGACGAATGCTTTTCCCTTTTGTTTTTTTGGCACGTAATATTTCATAACAAATATGAAATTGTGGTTATCATACATAATAATATAACTAACTATTCATCGATTATTTGTTTGCGATCCACAATAGTCGTCGTCGGACATCAACGATGATGATGATGAATTCAGTAGGTTGATTCATGAAAGCATTTTATTGTAGTCGACCTCATTCACTGACTGGACCATTCGATGGTCGCGTCAGCGTTGACCCCACTTCGCAGCTGGATGCCTGCCTACCTACCACCTAAATAATCTTTCCATCTCCTTCATCGTAATATAATTTATCATTTTATCAGTATAATTTAATCCAAAAGAGTGACGGAAAAGAAATCCAACGATGCCTCTGCCATGCTACTGCCGCTGGTGATGATGATGATGCCGATGATGGAGGAGATGTCGAGCTTTAAGCAGAAGTGGCTTAAACCTCTCCATGTCCAGCTTCACATCCTGGTGATCCAAGTACACGTCCGCCATCTTCTTCCATCCTAGCCTGTGGATGGACTTGGGGTCTCTGAACACCGGGTGGTCTCTCGGGTACTGCTCTGTCAGACTGCTCTCCTCCACGCCGATGCAGTATTCCAGGTAGTGCAGCTGCGCATCCTCGGTGGAGTCCTTGAAGCAGGACCGCGAGATGTTCTGCAGGTTGCCGTAGGGGACGATCTGGATGATGACGGCGTTGGTGGGCAGGAAGACGAAGTTGGTGAGCCCGGCGCCGTGCACGCCCACCATCACGTCGCAGGAGTTCACCACCCTGGTGAAGCTGGCCACATTAGTCCGCGTTCCTGCCTCCGCCACCACCACCTCGTAGTCCAGCTTCTCGGCCGCCCGCACGATCTCCTCGAAGTTGACGAATCTCCGTGTCCCGTTCCTCGATATCAGCAGCAGCCTCGGCTTCGCGGTCGGGCTCTCCCCCAGCCTGATCGGGGAGTCCCTCTCCAGCGAGTAGGCGGACCTCATGAGCTTGGTGAAGTCCACCATGGAGTACCCGTTGGGAGCTCTCGCGGGGTCGATGGACATGGGCTTGTGGCTGTGCAGACCGACCACAACGTGCCGGAAGCAACGGACCTGATCGTCGTCGTCCAAGAAGATGATCTCGTGGCGCGACAGCTGCCTCAGGACCGGTTTGTACTTCCCGATCCACCAGAACTTTTGCGTCGCGATGAGGAACTGCACTTCTCCGTCGAACTGTCGCGACGTTATGAACAGGGGAATCAGCACGTCGGTGAAGTCATGGTAGTAGTTCCCGGAGTAGCCGCCGATGGCGAAGACGATGGCGGCGACGCTGTGATTGACGGTGCAGCGAGGGACGTCGCCGATGCTAGTCGACGATCTCACTGAAACCTCGCCGATGTGCTCCATCGCAGCCTTGTCAAACTTGCGTGCGTAAGGCTTGATCCGCCACGATGGCTGCACGCCGGGATCCTGGGATTGGTGATCGGTCACCAGAACTACAGAGGAAGATTTCCCATGAACTCGAACGTCGCCGTCCATTTCGCAGACGTCGGTTCTATAATTCGAGAGATCGCAGACTGGCTTCTCTCGGGCTTTCATACCCTTCATCGTTCCATCTACAGCAAACACGCCGGTGCTCCGAACAAAAAGCTTACAGAAACGGACTCATGGACACAGAACTCTGTGGATTTAGCGAACATGAATGAGTTGATGATTACCTGGCGGTTTAGATTCAATTATTTCTACTTTTGGACTTGACAACTTTGTGGTGGATGAACTGTGGCGTTGGACCCTCTCGTCGGCATCTTTTCCTCGATCTCTCTCCGCCCCTTTTCCATGCTCTGCAGAGCAGAAGGAAAAGAAAGTCAGATCACGTTAGTTTCAAGTCCTGAACACGGCCGGCGTTTTTTCGTGACTTCTCACGGGTGGCAAAATAGGAGACTCACCCAACCGCAGAGTGTTCTGCTGAATCAGTCCCGTAGAAGCAGCATTGTTTAACATGGGTGATGGTGAGTTCTGCTTGCTTCTGACGACCACGCTACTGTTTGGGCTAATTCCTGCGTCTTCTCAGCGATGACTCGGAGACATTAGCAACGGAAGCGCAGTGATGAAGCAAGACAGCCTACCATTACAACGTAGCGAGACCTTCTCTTTACCTGATATCTGTGGATCACGACTAATTTCTTCTGCAGGATGAACCCAAACTCCGTAGAACAGGGATAACTGCTGTTCGACTGCAAAACAATCAGAAGAAGATTTGAGAAGGAAAAGACCTCAAACAATTTGCCGACACATGATGACATTCGACGTACACAGAGATGAAGGAAAGGCAAGAGTGAGGACTCACTTGTGGATACTGACATGACGACGACACAGGTCAATACTCCGACGCAGAATCCTAGAAGCAAAGGCAACCCGAGCTTCCTCGCCTCCATCTGCCCCAGTTTCTTCGCCAAGATCTTATGATACCCCATCTTCCGTATCGCCTGCGGCGGACGTTCTACCTGGAAATCACCCTGCTGCTCATGGATCGAAGTATGATGAACTAACGATTGAGCTCGCTCGCTCGCTCTCTCTCTCTCTTTATCGCTTCAAGGAAGACTTGAAATGCTATTGGACAGAGGAACTGATAAGAGATGATTGGACACGGAACGACTTTTACCTCGTGACAACTATTCTGATCTCGTTCTCAAACGATCAGATTGGAGATGTAGTCATTCATGGGGACAACCAGAAAAGGACAGGCTATAGTACTCCTGTAGGATGAATTGGCCTCCAGCTCGAAGTTTCTCCTCCTCACTGAAGAGCATGGGCGTGCAGATCTGCTGGATCTGAGCATATTTATTAGATGACTCGTGTTTGTGTGATTTCTGGCGGTGACTTGCAGTAATCGAGGGTTATAATCTCCGGCAAGTCACCAAGTAAAAACAACGTAGCAGCAGGATGTTCCGACTCCCCCACTCACTGCTTCCGTTCTTGGGGAATGTGAACTGCTGGCACCATGATGTCGACTTGGATTATCTCTGGATGCCGTAATGGAGTTCAATGCAGTGATCACACTTTCATCCCCACCAATTGTGTGAGCGAACACATTTGACTTCCAGAAAAGCAGATTCGTTAAAACGTGAGTAGTGCGCTTGTTTTGTTCTCATAAAGAGAGGCAGTACCTCGTGCGAAGACAGGAACAAAGAGTAGGGTCAATCTTCTGCTCGAAATGGGCGAAGAAGGGAATGATCGAGTGGATTACCAACAAAATGTTAAACCGAGTTTTGCAGCTCAATCTTTGACGGAAACCATGAGTAACTTTTCTAAGCTTCAATGCATGGGAAACGCACCCCTCGCTCCTGTCATGATCGAGCGCCCCACAGGCCACTGTACGTCATTCTGCCGTGCCTGGAATCATCATAAGTAGGCTTCGTTGGGACGTCGTTTTCCCTAATCTTTTACTGCTCAGATCTAATCCATTACCTTGAAACTTCGAAGCATAAAAGACAAAAAACAAAAGATTTACCATGGAAGAAGGGTCTGTCTCGGGAATCCTCCACCCTTCTTCTTGGTTTGTGTCCGTGCTTTGCCTGAACAAACAGCAATGAAGAACACGTTTCGGAGGACCAAAGGCAACCGCACGACTTGATTCAGTGGCAAGAGACGAGTCCTCCAGCTTGCTCTTACAGGTCACACATGGGCTGCCCCCGCCAAGAAAACGGAAGCTTCACCAATAACATATGCTACATGTCTAAATCAGAAATAAAAGAGCTCACATGTTGAGGTCGTCCACCAGTCCTGGAAGAAGAATTTATTGGCATGCCTCCACGGAACAAAACAAGAGTATACTCGAGGCACTCATGGCAGATGGGAAAAGCAGGTAACGGTGGTCACGACACAGATGATGCATGCATCCTTGGAGGAGGAGTTGGAGGAGGAGGAGGAGAGAGCTCTCTACTGAGCTAACCAAGAAGAACCACTGACGCCCAGCCTGTGCAGTCGAGCTGAGTGAAGCTGCCGCCAACTTTACGGTCCGGTCTTGGCACTGTGCTGAGCGGGTCCAAGCCTAGGTTCATGGGCCCGAACCAAATCATTCCCGGTTCAGCTATCCCTGTGCTTGCGCAGCCGGGTCAAACAGGCCAGACCGGTGGTAAGGTGAATCCTTGCTGGCGGAGATAGGTCAGATGTGTCGTCGTCACCGTCGGTGGGGTGAGATATTAACCACTCTCCCAACTGTTTCGGTGAGATATATTTATTAGCCAATGGTGTCGTCGTCACCACCATTGGAGTTTAATGTGATTCCTCTCTATCGGTTGTTGAAAGAGTTAAATCATCTCAAAACATCACAAATTCTATTTGTCAATCATGATGCATATGTGATGTTACACATATAAATATAATCTATTAGACAATTTAGATTATATATTTTTAACGCTCTTTAATGCATTACTTGTTGTTCTTAATAATCTACATATTACCATGTTTTGTATCATCCGTTTTGATATTTCTTTTTTTTATTATTGTTGAAAGTTGTTCTAAATTTTTTTTTAGGAACACACGATTTTATATATGTATATATACTCACAATAAGTAACAAAAAATAGATGTATTATTTAAAAAATGAATAACTTAAAGTGGATGTTCATATCGATTCTTACAGAACCTATGAAACCATATAATCAACTCATGGAGAAGTAGTAGCAGATGTGTTGAATTTGAAACATGATTTGTAGGTACCTTCTGGGAAATAATTATAGCAGTGATAACAATCCAGTTTCTCTAATTACTAGATTATTATCACTGCTCTAATTATTTTCTGGTTGCTTCCAGTTGGGCATTTTAAGTTCCAAGAATGCTGCAAACTCAACACATTGCCTACTATTTCTTCCTGTGTTCAACACCTATGGGATCATAGGTTTTGCCAAAAATGGATATTCAAATAATACAATGTGAATTATGGATAGTTTTTAATAAATACAAAAATATTACAAGAAGTAAGCATATAAATCTTACATGGGAAATTTGTCAAGGAAACTAAAGTAGTTTGCATTTCAATCATGACATCCACACAGATTAATTTGTTTCATGCACCTTCAGATTCTGCAAGGGTGAAAAAAAAATCATTATTTATGCTCATAAATAAATATCCATCAACATAAACATGAGTTTTTTTCCTTTTACACCATGGCATACAACATAAGTATGTCAAACATGTCAATTGGAATCTCCTTTTACATCATGGCATCCATTTCAGTACTTGTGGTGCAACCACTTCTCCCTTCGTTCATGGCAATTGTGAAGTGAGTGGCTTTGGATAGAGTGATCCAACTATGGTCAATATTTTCAAGCATTTTGAGAGCAAATATACTATTACCACATTATGTACAGAGCAGCAGGCTGCATACCCACGCCGGCAGAAGCATCAATTTTGGTTCATCTCCGCTTTTCCTTCGCTCATCTTCCATTATTTCACCTTTTTTTGTGTCACCAAGCGAGACGGTGGAATTATTCTTCGCCCTTTTAGTCTTCACCTCTATGCAAGTCAGTGCACTTGAATGCGATGTGGTTGAGATTGCACCAGCTGCCAGGAACTAAGCTCGTGCGTTCCTTCAGCTCGATCAGATACTTCCCGAGTTCCCTGCATCGACTTTTTTCCCAAAATAATCAGAGAAGAACAGACATTGTCTTGCATTTCTTGAGCCACTGAGGAAAACATACCTGTTGGCGCTGGCACTGATGAAATGTCCTAATTGTTCTGATCAAAACAAAGACCGGTACAAGTATTCCAGCAGTCCTCAACACCAGTAGCTTTATTTCCATATATGTATACATAAACAAGTACATCACGCAGAGCTTCAGAAGCTAACAACTAGGCAGCTACATTGAAAGAACATTATCGTAAACTTCTTAGTTTAGAGTTTTACTGAGAATATGGTGAATGAGTACTGCTCAGCACCACTGATGGCGAGAGGAAGAGTGTGGCGAAGAACCAAAAGAACCATGAACTGGATAGAAACAAAAGTGTGTAACACATTCTATCAAATTACATGAAGCATGAGAAGACAAAATTGTGACTCAGAAGTTCCTCTACAGAAGTGCTTCTTGAATAGAAAGGAACTCACTATTATGGCTACTGACTGGCAGCAAACTGTGGTTCTCATGCCTAAAGCTGAATAATCATCATCATGAGGATGCATAACATCACGTTCTGATGGATACAACGTTAAGATTTGAGAATCATTCAGGTCCTGTCTGGTAATCTCCCAATTTCCTCTGAGAAGCATTTTAACACTATCAGCAATTCAAATTGAAAATGTTGAAACTCTAAATTGCCCAATATCCCTAGAAACAGTACCCAAACACAGAATGTACTTAGGAAGGGAGGCTCAGTGTATGAAGCTCTCATCAATGCAAATTAGGAAAGGAATATGCAACATTCTCCCTATAGAAAGGAAGGCTATTCCTCAACTTGAAGTCTAATCAACGAGGAAGCAAAGAAACGGTGACACAGAGGGTACAGTGAAAAGGATACCTGAAGTTCATCGGGATACTCCCATACTGAAACAACTTTTGGGGAGCAGTATAACCTGGCTTGAATTGCTGAATATGAGTGATAAGAATTAGAATCTACAGAGGCAATATTAAAAGAAAAGAAACTATCACAATGCAGATGCTACATCAAAATACATTTGTAGATGAAACAATCAGCATGTGATCTGGCAAACATGACCACTTAATGAGTGAGCCTCAATTGCGTGTTGGACAAGCTTTCACCATGGTGGTTATGGGATGTTGAGGTCAAGAGAATTATCGGGCCAGAAAAAGAATCACCTGCAAGCAAATCTCGCAAACTGTGTCACCCTTTTCGTTACACCATCTTTGAACACATTCACGGTGAGCATACTGAAAGTAAAGGAAAAGATCCAGTTAACTGTTATTATTTATGTAAATTATGTTACAGAATCCAGCACAAAGTATGAGAAGAAAATATACGGCAAGAAGTAAATAAGTAAGTGAACTGATTACTTCTGGAGCACAAAGACTAACGTACTTGTACCGCACAATTTACTAGTAAAGTTGAACTGAGATCATAGACAAAAATTAGGAGACAAGGCTTAAACTGCATAATACAGAAAATTAGCACTAAGATAGGACAAGACCATTTCCTCAAAAAAAAAAAAAGAAAGGGACACACCATCTTCCATCGTTAGTGCAATTTCCATCACTAGGTTAAGAGATACCAGATATATCCAAACTTCAAATATTAGAAGTCTTAAAGACTGAAGCAACACTGGATGAAATGAAAAGGTCAAAACACAATGGAGGACATATCTGAGGGAGGTGGAGAAAAGCATTGTGCAATCATCTCTGCCAAACAGATACAGAACTAAAATTATGCACCGTCAATGATGGATACTGACCATTCTACGGATTCCTAATTAATTGCAATTTCGTTAACTTACAAAATGTATTCCATAAGGTTACGCCTGAATTGGATTAGCAAAGGATGTTGTAATGATTTAAGTATGAACTGATTCTGGTTGGTTCTCAGATTCTTCACCTTGCAATTGAACATTTTCATAGCTTTATAGTGAATCAACTCAAAGCAAATCTGTGTATATTTTGATGACATAATAGGATAATCTAGAAAGTGCCCAAAAATCTCTCTCGCCGGCTAACAGTTTGAAGTTTTGCAATGGTTCCTCCAATCACTAAATACTTCGTAGTTAATCAGTAAGACCAAACTAAACGAATCACCTCACTACTAACATGTCAGAGATGCTGGCATAGAATACACACAAATCAAATCTTTAGGCCATTAAAGTACTAGTTTCTTTCATACGTCTAATGAATCATAGTTATGAGCTACAGTTAGTTTGTAGGCTAGAACTGATCGACCAGTTTACTTAACTGCTTGACTCAAGGTACACAAGTTTCCTTCTTTATATAAGGATGGCAAAATCATAGGAATTTAGGTCAGAAACCAAGTTACTGATTTAAGATGTAAACACCAAGTTAATGGAAACAGATAAATGCACAATTTTCATGTCCCCGCACAAGTAAAATCCCCAAAAACAAGGCATCATCATCAACAAAAATAAAACCCAAAGTGATAAACAATATAAAGGAAATTGGAAAGGAAAAAAAAGAAAAAGAGAGAGAAAGAGAGAGAGCTTCCTTTACCTTCAAGCTGCCACAACATGAACAAGGGATCTCCATGTTGTAATCTTCTTCCTCTTCTTGACAAATTCGGCATTCAACTAACTTTCCAACACAGCTCCTGTCTCTGATGTTTCTCTTCCTAGTAAACTCTTTGCCTGGATCTTCCAAAGGCGCTGAATCGGTGGCAATCTGGTCGTGCTTCTGACCTCCAATAGCCGCCTCGAGCGTTGACTCAGTAAGGAGATGGTCCACTAATAAAGCAAGATGGTCTCCCATTCTTCTGGAACTTCAAGAAAAGACGAAATTAAATTAAGAAGCCAACTTGATGTGTCTTCAGAACCCAAGGAAAGATCATGAGAATTATGAAAAGAATTGGGCGCAACCAACCAGCCCCATAATGACGAAATAAGATACCTTTACAATGTAAAACAGCTTTCTATTAGTATCGTTAAAATAAGATCAAGAACACTATGAACATCTACAAATACTCAGAAAAAGAGACCAAGCCAAACAGATTGCAGTAGAGAAGCACAACAAAGATGTCTTCCTTATCGAACCACACAGAGAGAAATTGAGAAGGAAAATACCAATCAAAATCCAGTCGACCATGAGCAGGGCAGCAACCAAAACGTCGCCAAAATTTCAAATTTTTCGAAAAAGGAGGGAGCTTTCACCGTAACAAAGCACCAAATGACCACAACAACGAAAAAGAAGAGAGAAGAAGGGTAACATATCCATAAATCTGAAGAAGGCATGAGAAGAGGAGGGATGAATCAAACTGAAGGAAATCCGATAAAGGAAGCACGACCCACCAGAGACAGAGGAATCCAAAAACCAAGAAGAAAAGGATTAGACCAACGAGACAGGCGGCAGCTTTCTTACGGACTCCGAAACCTCCTCTCTCCTTTCCCAATCTGAAGAGACAAAGAACGCGAGTAAAACCCAAAGGCATGGCGAGCAGAAAACCGAGGAGTGGAAGGAGGAGAGGAGGAGGAGGAGACTTACAAGGTTGGACTTGGATGTGTTGAAGCGAAGGAAGGGACGAGGAGCAGATCAGGGGAGCTGAGGACGAAGCAAGAGAGAGAGGTAGTGGTGTGGTGTGGTGTTTCTTACCAGAGAACCCATAGCAAGAGAAGCGAGTCCTGCAACTTAAATACACCTGAGAATCCATTTCCCATTCTACCCCTCTCCTGTATTTTTTGTGGACATCCATATCCATCCTTTTGCATTTCTTTCTCATCCATCTCTCTAATTATTTTTCTTTACAAAATTTCACATTTGCCTTACAAAGTTGTGAGTATATATGTATGTATGCATGGATTTATACTTATGCTTACATTAGTGTTTTTTCTGTTGTTCGTAATTAATACTCAAATAATTATGCATTAGACACGTCATTCTCATTCGAACGAAATATCATTCTCATTCGATAAATACCCTAATCTCATTCAACATGTGGGTTTCAAAGTTAATGAAATAACACTAACTTGATTCTATTATATTAATCATATAGTACTTGTATTTTTAGGATGATTTTTTTTTCATGACCTATTGATAATTAAATAATGTGTATAACTGTTCCTCACATTTATTATGATCTCAATCAAACGATCTATCGTACTATAAATAATTATCTTAAGTATAATCTTAATAATAAATCTTTTCTAACTAAATATATCTAATTGAATCATTCGAAGTCCATATTAATTCAAACAGAATCAAATTCCATGATTTTTAAAATTTATAAATTATTATTATTATTATTAATTTTTTCATATATATATATATATATATATTCAAAAATTCATCAATTTTTTATCCCTCGGTGCATTAACTATATAACATTCACATGATACATGGGATGGCAGTCGTAATTTACATCACTTCTACTCTCCTTTTACCTTTCATTTTCGATGACTCGCCCTCTTTATCGCCATTATTTTTCCTTTCCCATATCAATTTCTTCTCCCCCCAAATATTTCTCTCTCTCTCTCTCTCTCTCTCTCTCTCTCTCTCTCT